GTACTAGTACCATTCAGCATTGGCAAGTATGAAGATCAAGTTCTATGTGATGTACTTCCCATGCAAGCCGGCCACATTTTACTCGGTAGACCATGGCAGTTTGACAAGGAGACGATACACAATGGCCGCACCAACTTTTACAGCTTCTCTCACAACAAGAAGAAGCATAACCTTTCTCCACTTACAGCCTAAGAAGTCTTTAACCTCCAAAAGTCTATGGAAAAGGGAGCTAAGGTAAGTAAAACTAGCCTTTATGTTACTCCTAGTAATGTTTTAAAGGCTTTATAATCTAAAACGCAGGTGCTACTCATGATCTTTAGAGAAGAGTTGTTTTTAGGTCAAGAGGAGAATGCTTTACCCGCCGAGATGAATGAGCTTTTGGAAAGGTTCAAAGATGTCTTCCCTGATGAGATACCAGCCGGTTTACTACCCATCCGAGGCATTGAGCACCAGATAGACCTTATACCCGGCGCACCTCTACCCAACCGGCCAGCTTATAGAGTTAACCCGGAAGAAGCAAAGGAGCTAGAAGCACAAGTTCAAGATCTTATGACCAAAGGCTACATACGAGAGAGTTTGAGCCCTTGTGCTGTACCGGTTCTACTAGTGCCGAAGAAGGACGGGTCATGGAGAATGTGTGTGGACTGCCGAGCTATAAACAACATCACCATCAAGTATAGGCACCCCCATTCCCCGGGTAGACGATATGTTAGATGAGTTGAGTGGAGCTACAATCTTTTCAAAGGTTGATATCAAGAGTGGCTACCACCAAGTCCGAATGAAAGAGGGTGACGAGTGGAAAACAGCCTTCAAGACCAAGAGAGGGCTATACGAGTGGTTAGTCATGCCCTTCGGTCTCATCAATGCACCGAGTACATTCATGAGGCTTATGAATCATGTACTGCGATCATACATCTGTAAGTCAGTAGTTGTGTATTTTGATGACATTCTGATCTATAGCTCTAGCTTAGATGATCATCTCAAACACATTGAGCAGGTGCTAGAAACATTAAGGTTAGAGGGTTTATATGCAAACTTAAAGAAATGTACCTTTTGCACTGATCAGTTAGTGTTTTTAGGCTTTGTAGCAAGTTCACAGGGGCTTAAAGTGGATGAGGAGAAGATTAAGGCGATTCAGGAATGGCCAACTCCCTCCACCATCGGTCATGTCCGGAGCTTCCACGGCTTAGCCAGCTTCTAAAGGAGATTTGTGAAAGATTTCAGCACCATTTCCGCCCCCTTAACCTCGGTGATTAAGAAGAATGTAGCATTCTCATGGGGCAAAGAGCAGGAGCTAGCGTTTCAAAGGCTTAAGGATAGCCTTACACATGCGCCTGTTTTGGCATTACCTAACTTTAACCAAATGTTTGAAGTTGAATGTGATGCTTCAGGAACAGGAATTGGAGATGTTCTTACTCAAGGGGGGAAACCCGTGGCTTTCTTTAGTGAGAAACTCAATGGAGCCGCCCTTAACTACCCTACCTATGACAAAGAACTATATGCTCTAGTAAGGTCTCTTGAAACTTGGCAGCATTACCTTTTATCTAAAGAGTTTATTATTCATACATATCATGAGACCCTCAAGTACTTTAGAGGACAAACTACTTTGAAAAAGAGGCATGCTAGATGGCTTGAGTTTGTAGAGACATTTCCCTATGTAATCAAATACAAGAAGGGAAAGGAGAATGTTGTAGCGGATGCTTTATCAAGGAGACATGCCCTCATATCAACAATGGAGGCTAAGATCATGGGATTCGAGCATCTCAAGCTACTCTATGGAGAGGATCCTGACTTCAAAGAGCTTTATAACCAATGTAGCCGAGGAGTTTTTGGTTCTTTTTACAGGCATGATGACTTTCTATTCAAGGACCTCCGGCTATGCTTACCTCAAAGCTCAGTCAGAGAACTCATCATAAGGGAGGCACACGGTGGAGGCCTCATGGGACACTTTGGGATGGACAAAACACTTAGCATCGTCAAGGAGCATTTCTTTTGGCCACATCTTAGACGTGACGTTGAGAGGTTCTGCTCCAAGTGCATCACTTGCTTAAAGGCAAAATCCAGGTTGCATCCCCACGGTTCATACATTCCTTTACCTATACCTGACCTACTATGGGTAGACATTTCTATGGATTTTGTTTTAGGCTTACCCAAGATCAGAAACAAGGATTCAATCTTTGTAGTGGTGGACCGTTTCTCTAAAATGGCGCATTTCATTCCATGTGCCAAGACTAATGATGCTACTCAGATTGCTGATTTGTTCTTTAAAGAGGTGGTGATGATTCATGGACTTCCAAGAACCATTGTTTCTGACCGAGACACCAAGTTCTTGAGCCATTTTTGGAGAACCGTTTGGAGAAAGCTTGGAACTAAGCTTCTATTCTCAACAACTTGCCACCCACAAACCGATGGACAGACTGAAGCAGTCAACTGTACACTCCACCCTCTTAAGAGCTACGGTTGGTAAAAATTTAAAGAATTGGCTAGACTGTTTACCTTTCATTGATTTTGCTTACAATAGAGTACCCCACTCGGCTGCTAAGCTTTCACCCTTTGAGATTGTCTATGGTTTTAGACCCATTGCTCCTTTAGACCTTACTCCTTTACCGCCGGTGCAACAAGTGAGTCAAGATGGAGTTAGTAAGGCCGAGCTGATGAAGACTATGTTCAAGAAGGTCAAGGAGAACATAGAGAAGAGGAACGAGCATTACAAGAAGAATGCTGACCAGGGACGCCGAGAAGTTACCTTTGAGCCTGGCGATTGGGTTTGGCTGCACATGAGAACCGAGAGGTTTCCAGTTCAGAGGAAGTCTAAGCTCTTACCGCGTGGAGATGGCCCGTTCAAAGTCCTCAAAAAGATCAATGACAACGCATATCAGATCGAGCTTCCAGGTGAGTTTAACATTTCTAATACTTTTAATGTATCTGACTTGTTACCGTTTGATGTAGGGGTATCAGTTATGAGGACAGAACCTTTCCAAGGGGGAGAGGATGATACAAACTAAGAGGCTGAAGCTGATGTTCCAACGATGAGGCAAGCTCCAAGAACAAGATCAGGGACTTAAGACTTAGCTGAGCACTTTAACCGAGCTGTGGAAACTCTCATCACTACGCAACACTTAGAAGATGTCACTACTCAACTTAGCCAGCTGAGCATCGCCAAAGAAGCAGCTATGGTGAGGGCACGCCTAAACGAGGAAGGCATCCCCAACGAGCAAGAAGACTCCCGAAACAAGGAAAACATTCCCAACGAGCAAGAAGACTTCCAAGCTAGTCAAAAAGACGGTTTAAACACCATCAACGGTCCTCATATCAAAAGCATTGCTTATACACACGGATGGCCAATGATTCATGCTAGCAAAGGAGTTTCCTTATTTAGCATTACACTACTTAAGTGAAAATGCTCCTAAACCACCTAAACCGAGGTAAGTCCGAGTTCTTATTTCAATATGGTTTATTCAACTAATAAAACTCCTTCTTTGGTTGTTTGATTCAGCTTTTAGTTCATTTAAACATTAGTATAAGGCATGGTGGCCACATTTTATTTACATTTTGCGTTTTAAGGTATTGTTAGCCAAGTAGTTTAACCTAAGGGTTTTGTAATATGTTTCAAGTCCTCTAGAAGGACAAAGCTGTTCGGACTATTTATAAAGTCTCCTCACAGCCGTGTATCTTTTTAACATATCAATAAAGAACGAACTTCTTGGCTAAGTACCAATCTCTTGTTCTTTAAGCTTTGTGCGATTCATTGCTTGAAGAGTTATTTGTCTTATCAAAGTTTATCCCTCATAGAACCTTGTGGCGACTATCGATCCATTACTCTTTCCATCTCACGTTTTAGATCTTGCAAATAGATTTGTACGGCTCTTTGTTTGATCCTCATCTCGATCCACTTCCTTCCATAGTCCATATATCGATTGCAAGCCGAGAGAGTTGAACAGCCAGCGGTCCAATCCCATCACCATACACGCAGGCCCGGTCCAATTAAAATAGTGGCCCAAAGCTATAAAAGAAGAAAATGTAAACTTTATTTGGTCATTTTAAATTTGTGGCTCATATTTTAGATTTTTTTAAAATTTGTGACCCATTTTTTAGCCTAATTTTTTCTAAAATATTGGTGGCCCTAAGCGCTGGCTTAATCCGCATATCCTCTGAGCCGGCCCTGCATACACGGTTATTAATTTGTAGGCGTGTGTCAAATAAAGACGATGCAATTAAAGTTTGATAAGTATTAAAAAGATTACATTGATATCCTGGCAATAGCTGCAGTATTTGATCGAAGACTGTTACTTACATGCTTTGAATACAGTTTCACGACTTTAGATCTATTTACTAATAAGAAGAACCAAAGAAACATTACAACTACTGTGACAACTTCACAAGCTGAAACATTCCAAAAAAACATTCGTGCAAGTTTGTGTTTGTCGGACAACTGTCGACATCCCATTTGAACATGGTTCTTTTTGAGTGTGGTCATCTTTGGGCATAGTCTTCTTTTGGTGCGATCCTCTTTAGTCTACAAAAAGTACATGTTCAATTGGACATGTCCATTTAGACTTGGTTACACCCAAATGACGGCGATATTTATTTTTAATAGTGAACCAAATCAAATTATCATATTTCTAAATATGGAAAACAAAATTTGTTTTTAAATTGAAAAATAAAAATTCAGTGTAAAATCGATTCTTTTAATAAAGAATATAATTGACTAAAAAATGAATTTAATTAATCGTCTATTATATTGAATTTTTATTATTTTCGAGTTTTTATATATAAAACAAATTATTTGAGTATAAAGAGGTTAAATATATAAACCATAAAAAAAACCGAATGTTCAAAAAATCTAAACAAAACCGAACCGAAATTCAAACACTCTAAATTTGTTGATAGATGATTGGTTTACTGAACCTATAAATCGAGCGTTATACCAACCGGTTTGTTGGGTTTCTAATTGCTTCCTCTGTGCTCTGGCCTCTAGTGCTGTCGCCGAAGCTTTCTCAATGGCTACGAATCCGACGTTTCAGCTTTTCTCTTCTACGAACGATAAATCTTCTCAAGGTTCTGGTCTAGGGTTAAGGTTCTTCGATTCACCAGAGCCAGCTCTTCCTCCATCGCCTCCTCCAGTTGAAGTATTATCCTCCGAGGTATCGTTGCTTTCACTTTCTCTGCAACTTCATCTACTTTTCCTTATGTTTTCCCTCTTTTGATTTCTGGCTATTTCTTCGCAGTAGGCTTCTTTCTCGGTTGATTTCGCTGTAGATAAAGTCACTATCGGCGATGTCACTCTCTTGAAGGTGAGTTTCTGTTTTTTTTTCATTTGCCGAGAAATTTTACGAAAAAATTGAGGAAGAAAGGGACAAATTGAATGGAGCTTGATCTCTCATATGCTAGAAAACTTCAATCCCATAGGACACTATTGTAATCATTTGATCAACCCCTAAAAAAGGCGAATCACAGCGAGTTTCGTACTTGAATTAGCTTAAAGCTAGTCCAGCAAGATGATGATTGTTCATGAAAGTGAGTTATTCAGTTTCTTCTTTGGTTTAGGGTCGTGTGAACACTAAGGAGGTCTTTGGATTGCCTAATTCGGATTTAGTTCCTGGAGTATATGAAGGTAAGTGATGATTCTTGTTATGGTTTATGTGATGTTCATCCCTGGATAATTCATCTTCTTGCTCTGTATTCGATTTGATCTAGGTGGGCTTAAGCTTTGGGAAGGATCTATTGATCTTGTCAAAGCTCTTGAAAAAGTAACACAATCCGGGAACGTTTCATTTTCCGGGAAGCGGGTTCTCGAGGTAAGTTCAACAGTAGGTTGTATATGCTCTATATAGTTTGCTATCAGAATGATATCGATGTAATGAGTTGTTGAGATTCTTGATCTGAGTTATGATCCATTGAAATAGGCTGTATCACATGTTTATATTATTTTAATCACATCTAAGTTAATTAATCTATGGTTTCAGCTTGGATGTGGTCATGCACTTCCAGGAATCTATGCGTGTCTCAAGGTAAGATGACTCTTCCAAGCTCTATACTCTGTGTGGCCAAAACCATGTTCTTAGATCTTTCTGCATTGTTTTGGTTTTCAGGGTGCAGATGCCACTCATTTACAGGACTTCAATGCTGAGGTCCTTCGATGTCTCACCATTCCGAATGTTAATGCTAATCTGTCCAAAAACTCGTCCCCTGTCTCACTAGGTGAAACAGAAGTACGCTTCTTTGCTGGTGAGTGGAGTGAAGTTCATCAGCTTCTTCCACTAGTTAACGATGGTGAGACTGATAAGAAGGGTGTTTATGACATCATTCTAATGGCTGAGACAATATATTCGATCCCTGCTCAGAAAAGCCTCTATGAACTGATTAAAAGGGTACAGTTTTTTGTTTCTCCTGGATTAGCAGAAACTTTTACTAGCTTTCTTAAAGATTCATTGGAGGTTTTTGATTCTTGATTCTCTTTGCAGTGCTTGGCGTATCCTGATGGTTCAGTGTACATGGCTGCAAAGAAGTATTATTTCGGTGTTGGTGGCGGGACAAGGCAGTTCTTGTCTATGATAAAGAAAGACGGTAAGAATGGTCTAAACCGCTGATATATGTAAAGCAAGTGTTGCCTTTGTTCATCCTCTACAATGTTGATTACTAAGAATGGTCTAAATCGATTTAACTTCATTGCAGGTGTTCTTGCTTCATCCTTGGTCTCTGAAGTCACAGATGGTTCCTCCAATATGAGAGAGGTATGGAAGCTTTCGTACAAGTAAGACGAAACTCTACCATGCGTTTAGTGGATTTGTTGTTCTCATCAGTCATCAAAATGAGAAATTTGAGTAGAAACTATAAGTTTCATCCATGTTTAGCTTTTATAGATTCTGTTGAATTATCAACTTTGTCATCGTTTAGTTTTGTACTTTGATACAATTCTTTGACTAAACAAAAAGACTTCTGTTCTGCCGTTGATTCTCACCGGACCAAAATACCGAACTCTGATTAAACTTAGCAAAATGAGCTGATGTTGATCGGCTCTGATGATTGTGGTATGGTCACTCCAATCAAATTTGAGATAAGAGGCGTAGCAGTTGGAGTCGACTGGGTCAAAAAGTTGACATAGAAAAGTAAAATCTTAGTAAAAAAATTCGTTTTGGACCCAAACACTTTTTATTTATCTAGCAAAGGAAACTCCAAGTCCCGAGTTCATAGATTATACTTGAAGTTTGAAACCCAAACAATTCAAATTCACCAACAAAGAAAAAAGAAAGAACAACATATGAGTATACAATTACACTAACATAAAGTGTCATCATAATGATGATGGTGAAGGGTCAAGAGTCACTCCTGCACTTGTAATGCTTAGAGCAGCCTCGACTGTAAGGGTTAGACGGCGGAGGAAGACATTTGTTAGTGTAAGGTTCGCCGCGGTTACCACCATCACAAGCAGGCTGATTCCTCCTCAAAGTTCCGTATGATAGCTTTTGTTGCTGTTCCGCCGTCAATCTCTGGCTTGACCATGACTCCATTATGACAGTCATTTCCTCCGTCTCCACTTCGCTGCTGCAATCTGTCACCGAACCATTACATAGAGATGACGATGATGATGATGATTCCTTGGAGGTGACGTGTGCGAGAAGGTAGAAGAAGATGATGCTGATGGTGAAGAAGACCTTTGTCTCCATTTGTTAGTGTCTTGATGAGAGAAGAAGAGAGTGAGAACTGTGAAGGCGAATTATTTGGTTAAATGAGTAAATAAATAAGCATGGAATGCCACATTGGGACTATTTCTAATTGTAAAAGAGAAAATTTAGTGGGAGCAGCACTAGAGGGACCGCACTTCACCTAACACACTGCTTTTACTTAATTGATTACGAGTGTGTATATTTATGTCGGATCATTGTATCTCTCTATGTCATATGTTAATGTAAAACTTATACATCTCGGTTTTTTGTATCCTATAATGTTTTTTTCTTTGGTAAAAAGTTTGAATCTCTATTCTTCTTATTGGAACACTTTTATCAGTAGAGCAAAAAAGAAACTACTTATGACAATGTATACCAACACGTTACACGTACGTATCAAGTAAGAGGAATCTAACACAGTAGCAAGTTTACGCTTTAATGGGTTGCTTCTTTTAATGTCTTCTAGAACCGAAAATCATTTTTTTAAAATTGGAATATCTAAACACTGACTCAGGGAACTAGATGATATTATGGGCTAAATGCTCAAAACTCCCACAATTTAATCCCAAAAAGAAGTTGTCTCTTTATGCCCCATATCCTCAACCTCTGTGCAAGTGAGAAACATTATTGTTTTAAAATTAAGAAGCATTTCGCCAAGGAAGAGAAATTAGGGTTTGTGTCATCAAAGCTTTGCCGCTAGTGAATTGAAGGATTCATTATATTGGTTAAGTTTTTGTGTAATATTTGTATAGTTATGGTATATATGATTCATTAGTTCATTTGGATGGTTTTTGGTGTAGTGTTTTGGTAGAGGCACAGGGTTGAAGTCATACCCTTCTCATTTTCTTTTCTTCACTAACAAGCATTTACGGATTTGAATATGGACAATGACAAAACAAGTATACAAAGACCACTAAATTACATATTTTGGTCTTTACGTTCTATCAAAAACTTTTTCGAAATATATTCATATAGAGGAACAAACGGCTAGTCATGTTAACGATTCTTTAGGCTTGTGACCACCTTAAACTAAGGGCCAGTCATGTCCATGATTCCACAGTTTACTAAAGATAACCAATGCAATTTTTTTTTCTGCTGGTATGAGAATTACTAATCTAAAAGCGGACCAAGTGATCAGTTTATGATATAACTCGATGATCATTTTTTCTCACTCTTAGATATCAATATTTTCCAACAGGATTACAACTTTGAAGCACATAGTTACATAGGTAACACATGTTGCATTATGTTAAGTTTTTTGAGCTTCCAACCCAAAACCAATTGGCAATGAATGGATTGGCTCAAGTCCCTTATATATTAGTCAAGGTCCCTTCCAACTTCCGATGTGGTATATAACAAAATAATTTTTCCTGTGATTTTTACTCTTTCGTTTTTTTTTCTTGTTTCTCTTTTCTCTTCTATTTTTCTCTTAAAACTATTCGATGGCGAATACTGGTGAAACTACAAAAGATTCTTCTAGTGGTGACGAATCTAGTGGATTAGCCCAAATCCCTTATATAAGTCAAAGTCCCTCCCAACTTCCGATGTGGTATCAGAGCAGGAAAATATAACAAAATAATTCTTCCTGTAACTTTTACTCTTTCTTTTTTTTTCTCTCGTTTCTCTTTTCTCTTCTATTTTTCTCTTAAAACTATTCGATGGCGAATACTAGTGAAACTACAAAAGATTCTTCTAGTGGTGACGGATCTCTCCTTTCTACTTGCATCCGTCGGATAACATGAAGCAAGCTCAAACACCTATTCTTTTGAATGGTGATAACTATGAGCGTTGGGCGAAGCTCATGAAAAGCTCGCTCCGAACAAAGAGGAAGGTGTGCTTTCTCGATGGATCGTTGAAACGACCGTTTTCAGACTCGGTGGAAGCTGAGAAGTGGGACATGGTCAATTCAATAATCATAGGCTGGATTTACAGCAGTATCGAACTGAAATTGTAACCCTCGGTCTCGCTCGTGGAAAGTGGGAAACTAATGTGGGATGGCTTGAAGCATCGATTCTCAGTAAGCGATGGCACCATAGACCATCAATTACGCACCGATCTCGCCGCTTGTCGCCAAGATGGACTCACGATGGAGGCTTATTTTGGCAATTTAAAGGTTCTCTCAGATGATTTGGCGAATCTGGATTTGGTGATGGTCAAATATGAACAACAGAGCGAGAAGATTCGGGTACATCAGTTTCTCATGGGATTGGACAGTGCTCATTTTGGCACATCTCGCTCAAATCTGTTGAGTCGAGAATCAGTTCTCACCCTTGATCGTGTCTATTCACAAATTGTCCAGGAGGAGCGCCATCTCAACGCTACTCGATCGGTGGATGAGCGGAATACGGCGGCGGTTTTCTCTACTTCAACAACACCTGTAGCGTCAGCTGCTCGCTCAAACACAAATAAACAGCTCAAGTGTACTCATGACATGACGTGGAGAATTGCTTTCAGTTTCATGGATATCCATATTGGTTGAATGAAAAATCCTCAAGAAGAGCGGCAGAGGCCATGGTAACAGCAGTGGAACTTGTGGTCGGGGAAGAGGAACTCAGCCAAGAGCATCTCATGTTCAACAGGCAGAGGAGAATTTTCCTGGCATTCCAAACTTCACTGCAGATCAATGAAAGTCTCTGGCGCAGTTTATGAATTCTCAGAAATCCTGTACTGATGATAAGCTATCCGGTAAGAGAGATATATTGTTTATTATGAGAAAACAGAGTCGTTTTGATGTGATTATTAGCTCAGGGGCATCGCACCACATGACTGGTGATGCTGATCTTTTAACGAAAATTGCTCTTATATCTCCTTGTCCAATAAAACTACCTGATGGTGGTATAACTTGGGCCACTAGTCATGGGACATTGCATCTTGGCGGAAATATTATTTTGAAATATGTCTTTCTAGCTCCGCATTTTGATATCACCCTTGTCTCTGTCGCACAACTTTTACGTGAGTTTGCTGGTTTAGTCTTATTTACAAAACGCTTTTGTGTGATTCAGGACCTCACTTCGAAGACTTTGATTGATGCGGGTAGAGAGCGTGATGGAGTTTATCATTACACGGGCGTCATTGATATTAAGGCTGGAAGCGCTACAAAGTTGCAATGTCGAGATTTGTGGCATCGAAGGTTGGGACATCCGTCGTCCAAAGTATTATCTTTTATCTCGGGTGTTGGTGTTTTTAGGAGTAGCTTAAGTGATTTGGAAAAATCTTGTGATATTTGCCTCCGTGCAAAACAAACTCGTTCTCAATTTTCTACAAGATTGAATAAAGCAGAGGCACCTTTTTCTTTAATCCATTCTGATCTTTGGGGTCCATACAGAACTCGGTCTACTTGTGGCTCTTACTTTTTTCTCACGATTGTGGATGATTATTCACGGGCCATTTGGACTTTCTTGCTTCTTGAAAAAACAGAGGTGCCAAAACTAATTAAGCAATTCATAGCATTCGTTTCTCGCCAATTCAAAAAGCAGGTCAAGACAGTCAGAACAGACAATGGTACCGAGTTCATATGTCTTCGTTCGTATTTCAATGATGTGGCATTGTGCATCAGACTTCCTACGTCGCAACCCCTCAACAAAATGGACGAGTGGAGCGCAAACACCGTCACATTCTAAATGTTGCACGTGCATTGCTATTCCAAAATCACTTGCCGATTTGCTTTTGGGGCGAGAGTATTCTCGCTGCAACTTATCTCATTAACAAGACCCCTTTGATATTGCTTGACGGGAAAACTCCATATGAATGTTTGACGGGTTCACTGCCTGATTACAGTCAGCATCGTGTTTTTGGTTCCTTATGTTTTGCAAGACGGGTTCAACGAGATAAAGATAAATTCCAGGAGAGAAGCATTCCCTGTGTTTTTCTCGGGTATGAATCAGGCAAGAGAGGTTGGATCGTGTATGATTTGGACAGAGGTGTGAAGTTTGTTTCCAGAGATGTGGCTTTTCGTGAAGACATATTCCCTTTTTCACCAGCGAAAATAGTTCCTCAACGCCAACATCTCCTGCAGCCTCCAGATTTACAATTGCAGTTTTTGATGACAATGAAAGAATACAGGAAATTACAGATGCTTCAGCGCCAGGGGGAGTTCATCTAAATGATAATACCGATGAAGAAGCACAACCTCCGGGTTCTCCTGAGGTGGTCTCGCAAAATCCTGCTGATGCAGCTCTTGCAGTTGTTGATTCTGCTACACAAGCTCCTGCTGTGGTTGACGATTCTGACTCCGCTGATGATGAGCAAGCTCCTCCTCATAACGAGAATCTGGGTAAAGGACATCGTGTTAATCAGAAATCATTTTTGCTCAAGCCTTATGTCACTTACTCTGCTCGCCAAAATGATAAACCCCATCGCGCCTCTTCCAGCTCACATCAAACGTCTTCGGGTACGTGCCTTTATCCTCTAAACGATTTTGTATCTTATGACTGTTTCTCTTCATCTCACAAGGCATTTCTAGCCTCTGTTGATGCTTATTATGAGCCGCGCACTTACCTGGAAGCCGCTCGCGATCCCGTTGGAACAATGCAATGGGTTCTAAAGTTGATGGTCTGCAAATTCTGAACATTTGGGACATAACGACAATACCTCCTGGAAAGCATGCGATGGACTAAAAATAGGTGTTTCGAATCGAATATAACGCTAACGGTTTGATTGAGCGTTATAAGGCCAAGCTCGTTGCTTTGGGTAATCGCCTAAAAGAGGGTTTGGATTTCATGGAAACCTTCGCACCAAATGACAACAGTTCTTATCTTGATGAAGGTGGCTGCAGTAAAGAGATGGGAACTCCACCAAATGGATGTTCACAATGCTTTTCTCCATGGTGATCTAGAGGAGGAGGTATACATGAAACTTCCCCCTGGTTACAAGGCAATGGCTCCTAATCAGGTGTGTCGCCTTAGGAATCATTGTATGGTTTGCATCAAGCACCTCGATGCTGGTTTGCAAAACTGTCGAATGCTTTGTTGCAATTTGGTTTTCGACAGGATAAGGCGGATTACTCATTGTTTACTTACACTTGGTTCTGTGCTCTATGTTCTGGTCTATGTCGATGACTTGGTCATTCGTGGGAGTGATCCGAAGCTCACTTCGAAATTTAAAAGCTACTTGAGTGAGTGCTTTAAGATGAAGGATCTTGGTCCGATGAAGTATTTTCTGGGCATAGAGGTCTCTCGAGGAAAACAAAGAATTTATTTGTGTCAACGAAAATATGCTCTTGATGTCATCTCCGAATGTGGCGTACTTGGTGCTCAACCTGTTGATTTCCCGATTGAACAGAATCACAATCTCGCTAAGGATGAGGGCGAGTTTTATCCACATCCGGAAAAGTACAGAAGGCTTGTTGGACGGCTGATTTACTTGGTCATTACTCGACCCGAATTGAGCTATGCTGTTCACACACTCGCTCAATTTATGCAGAGTCCTCTCTTACGGCATTGGGATGCAGATTTGCGAGTTGTCAGATATCTCAAAGGTTGTCCTGGCCGTGGCATTCTCCTCAGTGCTGATGATGATCTTTCCCTTGCCACATACTGTGATTCAGATTGGGCTTCTTGTCCACTTACGTGGCGGTTTTTGACGGGTTATGTCATCATGCTTGGAGGTTCGATTGTTTCTTGGAAAACAAAGAAGCAACAAACAATGTCTCGATCATCAGCTGAGGCAGAGTACAGGGCGATGGCGATGACATTTAGTGAACTCACCTGGGTTATTTCCTTACTAACGACACTTGGTATACCTCCGAAGACGTCAGTTTCTTTCTTCTGTAATAATCAAGCAGCTTTACATATCACCAATAACCCAATATTTCATGAACGGACAAAGCATATAGAAGTGGATTGTCATTATGTGTGAAATGGTGTTCCGGCAAAGATTATTCAAATAAAGCACATCCAAACTACAGAGCAAATGGCAGACATCTTCACAAAGGCTCTTGGCGACAAACAGTTTCATTACTTACTTGGCAAGTTAGGAGTTCGAAATCTCCATACTCCAACTTGACGAGGAATAATAGGATTTGGATATATCCGAAATAATATTGTTATACGATATATATGGTAGAGATAAACTTAGAGATATGAGTTTATTCTTTAAGGAATATACTATGTTCTATTGTTTGTATATAAACCGATGTACATCTGAAAATACACAAGAGTTTGATCTCAATTTGGCACATTACTTACCAAATTATTATATCATTTCATATAATATTAGTTCGAAATTATTTTAGCCACAATCTAAATCTTTTTTTTTTTTTGAAAAAGGGTTTATACAATCTAAATCTTTACGAAAACAGTCAGTCATATGGACTATCTCCGATCTAGACGAACTCGAACTTTATAGAAAAATGAGGCTTTACATCGATATCTAAATCAGCATGTGGTTCCTCATAATTAGTCAGGAAATCGATAAAAAAAAACCTTTATCGGACCACAACTCCTTCTTCTCTTTTTTTTTTTCTTTATTTTTTTTTCTCTTTCTTTGTTTTGTTCTCCTTTTTTTTTCCTCAGCAACGCATGCGTTTCCCTTTTCTTTTTTGATTCCTCGACAATTCCAACAAATAAAACCTACTATTGAGCTTAAATGACTAATTTTAGGCTTGCAAACTCATAAATTTGAATATTAATTATTTTTTTTTAAATCAGGGAAATATGTTTTTTTAGAATAGAGTGTTAAATGGAAATGTTGAAATCCTTTATATATTAATTGAGAAGTATTTTTTAAAAATAACCTCATTTTTATAAGTATTTACAGTGGTGTCATTATGCTGATGTGTCAACCTCACATTCATTTTCAGCTAATTGTTTTAAAAAGATTTAGATTACTAGACTAATTACATGATATGTCATTATATATTTTAAGTTCATACATATGTTATGTTTCATTTTATAATTCAGCATTTAATTTATTAAGATATTCTCTTTCTTTTATTTCTTACCAAAAATATATTATATTAATTATTATTTAATTATATTTTCTACCAAACATCTATTTTTTTCTTATTTTAATTTAAACTTACTTTTGTAAAGTAAATAAATTATCACATCATCTATATAGTAAAAAATATTTATTTTTTGTACATGTATTATAATTTGAATTTTAAAAATTGAATAAAGATTACTCAAATTATTAATAAATAAATATAAATCATTATAATTTGAGTTCATTATAATCCTTATAAAAGTTGATTGTAATTTGAGTTCATTACAGTCATTATAAGTAAATAATTATAATTCGAGTTAATTAACTCTTTCCAAAAGTAAATTCTCAATTAGCTCATAATTTAGACTCTTTCCAAAATTTAGTATACAATAAATAATATTTAATATTTAATATAATATAATTATGAGCTAATTGAAAATTTATTAAAATTTTTAATAAAATGAAATTTATTATGTTTGATATATGTTAATAATATAAGTAATTTAATTTATGGTTCATTCACTAATATAATTTAGAAATAAGTAATATATTAATTCAAATTTAATATTTAATTTAGATATATATATATATTCAAAGATTTCGAGTAGAAACGATAGTGACACTTTTGTCTAATAAATCATCAATGTTTAAAACTTATTTGGAGTAAAAATAATATATAAGATGGATAAACATTAATATTTTTATAAATACTAATTATAATAAATTTTATTTGTCATATTATTTTTTATTTAATCAATCATAGCAAAGACACATCAAAACTCTAATCATATTACATCTTAAATTTAGTATTTCACTTTATTATGTATACATTATACTCTCAACTTACTATTTATCATATATTCAATTATGTCTTATTATTATATTTTAGATAATATTTTTTTATTAAAAGTTTTTGGAGTCAATAATTATTCTTTTCTTTTATAAATTGTAAGAGATAATTTATAGATATAATTATTATTTTTCAAATTAAGAATATAAAAGTGTGACTTTTTTATAATTCATTCGATATATTAGATGAGTAACAAACTATTTAAATAATAATATTTAATTATTATTTAAGAGTTAAAAATAATTAAATATATACACAAATATTATACTAAATTTAAATAAATAATAATAATTTTATCCCACACAAGGTACGAATTATTACCTAATTTTTATTATAAAGCATCATTAACTGCAATGAGTACAAGTGTACAAACAATTATAAATTGTCTAGTGACTTCACATGACTTCCTTTAATTTATTCAACTCCACAACACACACAACCAACTAATAAAACTGAATTTAAACAGGCTAAATTCAAATCCAGATATCAGAAGTGCAGTCTCCACCCGGATATCCCATCTCATGAGCAAGCGCAGGACAAAAACATAAAAGAAAAAATTAGTATTCTTCGTCCTTTTTTTGCAAGTCTAAGTTTTAAAAAACAAAAACAGAAGACACTAGGCAAGCTGCTCGATATCAGCTTTAACTTTTTTTTTCTTCCATAAAATGTTATTTTTATGTGAGATCTATAAATTATAATAAATAAATTAGATTTTAAATTTATGGATTAGTGTTTTTCTTTTCTTTTTTAAAATATAAAATTTATTAGACCAATTTATTTCCTTTTCATTCTTTTTCCTGGTTTTCTTGAACATTCACACATAGTCCACACGCCAATGGTCCAATGCCCAAGACTCAAAAGACAATGACACAATATATAAGTAGAAACCTCTATCATTATCATGGATTTAGCCACAGCAGAGTAGCACAACTCTTATTCATTACTCTCTTCAAAACACAAGTTACAACAATGAGTCAAATCTAGCTCACTCCTTTTAAAGGGCCAAACTCAAATCCAGATATCGGAAGTACAGTCTCCGCCTGGATATCTCATCTCATGGGCAAGCGCAGGACCATCAGGTTCATCACCAAAGTCCACAAAGAAATCAGGGTTTATGGTGAGACCACCTTTGTCTGTATCAACATCAATCTGAATTATATGTGAGCCTTTATCCATGAGTTCAGGATAAAACTGACGGTCCCATGCACTAAACAGCGAGTTTGTGGCATACAACCGTTTTCCATCGAGACTCAACTGGATCATCTGAGGTCCTCCGCGTAGAGATTTCCCCTAAAGTAACCATAAAAGAAACATGTTTTATACAATGGAAAATGTGAATTTCAAAAAATATTACATTTTGGGGACAAACCTTGATCAGAGGAACATCGAATTGGAATGTGTTGCCATCTTCTCCAACCGCTTTAACAGGACTGCCCTTTTGTAGTAATCCTCCGACCCAAATTTGTCCAGTTAAGACAGGGTTCTTAGGGTCCTCTATGTTGTACTGACGAATGTCTCCTTGAAGCCAGTTCACAAAGTAGATGAACCGGTCATCGAGGGAGATCAAGAAGTCAGTGATAAGCCCCGGCATTTCTGGAAGAAACCAGTTCTCTACTTTCAACGGTTTAACTGATATAACTATCTGAAAAGAAATGATTTTGAATTGCAGATTAATCATATATTTGAAAATCATAAAAAATGATGAGGCAAAGAAGAAGATTCAAGAAACTACACTTGCCTCATGGCTCCATGTTTCATCACTGTTCTTGAAAAATCTGATCATGTTACTAGACAAGGCACTTCCAACATACCCTGTATCTTTAGATGGATCATGCAAGAACCTAATCTGCAACCAGATATAAGTTAAAAGAACACAGATCACGTTTATAAAGAGAAGTTTGATTATGTTACCTCCAAAGGTAAGAGGCCAGTCTCTCCAAGATCAATAATCTGTTTCATATCACCTCCTGGCCAATTATAAACATGTAGATGACTTCCGTACAAGCCATCAGCAACATGCTGAAGGTCGAAGCCTGTGGTAAAGGCTTTAGGTGCTCCCCAAGATGAGCTGATCATCGTCTTGTGCCGAGGTTGGTACCAGAAATCATAACCAAACAATGGACTCTGTCCTGGTTTCTCCCACCTGAGACACCCCACCAAAAACCATAAACATCAGTTCCATTGTAATGCTTCTGTCACAAGTTATTGCATCGGCCATATGCCCTTTCATTGGCTATCACTCTATGTGATAAACTTTATAGTTTTTTTTTTTACTTTTAGAGCTAGTGACAATCACCAGCAATGGTGTATGACTAATAGTGTGATAAAGAAACTGAAACAGAATGATTTGTTTGTGCAATAAGATACCTATTCTTGATGTTAAAGTCTGAGTCAAGGAGGAGAAACCCATTTCCCTCAGCGTTTCCATCTTCGTCCCCAAGACAGGACACCAAGATTTCGCCAGAGGCAAGACAATGAGCCGTGTGTGGATACGCTAAACCAGTCTTTTCAACAATCTCTTTAGGATCTACATACTTATACAAAGACGGAGACCTAGGGTTTTCCTTTGTGTCAATCGCGTAGATGCGACCAGATCTTCATTCAGACAAGAAAGAACAAAAATCTATTTGGTCATCATGGAGAAAGAAACTTGCACAGTAGTAAGATAAAAAGGGAAAGGGTGAAGGGTCTTACACAAGTGATGGTAACACGAGATAACGTCTATCCGCAGAAGCATCACCGTGACAAGAGCTGCAAGAGTTCCAACCAGAGTGATGAAGCTCATCACCAACAAAGGGCATTGGCAATCTGTGAATGACGCTTGAATATGTTTCTGAGCTTGGATCCACATCCACTGTAGCCAAGTAATCCGGCTTCTCTCGTCCCGTTCCTTAGAAGCCAATTCAAACAAACCAAAAGGTATCAGAATACAGCAGAACCAAGATTTTCCAGCATTCTTTTTCAGTCTAAAAGACATCAGACACGTCTGATTTAGATTTATTACAATCATTGCCAATTAATTTTGAGTCAAAATTTAATATAATGAAAACAGAGTCTATCTGTTTGTGATTCTATCTGGAATCTGATTTAAAGATACTAGATGAGTACCAGCGCGATGCGCAGATTTTTGTTATATAATATAGTTTATTAAAAAGTTTAGTTAAAATTTATTTTATCGTATATTTAAATATTACTTAAGGATGTTGTGTATTTGAATAAACATGCAATATGTATGTACGTATTATGTAGACATTGACTATATATGTAATAAATAGTTTATTGATCATGAAATATGAAATATGTTATGCGTTGTATATATAGAATAAATTAAATAGATATAGTGTATTTTAGAGAAGTACTATATAACAAAAAAATAATTATAGAAACTCTTCAAATCACAATATAAGTAGAGACGACTATTTTTAGCAGGTCGTATTTGTTCTTGGCGCAGACTAATTAAACATTTCTAATACTACTTTTTCGGTCACATATCACGCTGCAAATCTTAATTTATTTTATTTTTATTCTGATTATTTTGTGAGGTTTTCATTACATTAACAATAAATTAAAATATACATTTATCAAACATATAAAAACCAAAACAAAGATATTTAAATAGCACACACTTAAAAAGTAAATAATTAATTGGTCTAACTTTAATTACATAATAATAATAATTTATTAATTACAAAAATTAAAATGACAGATGTCACTCTCTCATGTGTTGAGGTGGTACTCAACTGGAGAGAGTTGACCATCTTTTATATTATAGATTAAGAGGTATTAGAATACTTCAGGATTTTTCATTCATTTCTTGTTCAATTATATATACATCACACAATCAACACATAGATTTTTCACTTAAAAACATAGTAAAACTCGTTTCATTAACCTTCTCCATAACGGATCTAATCCGGAAATAAAAAAACAGAGAAATTTTAAGACTATTGTGGTTTCGGTCTTGAATCCTTGAGATTCCGTAGGACCTACTTAAGATTTGAAGATGTTTAATCAGCTTTAAAAAAAATAAAGATTCTATCTGAAAATACATATGAAAACGTTCGATCTGGATTCTGTAAATAGATTACAAATCATATAAACAAAACAGATAAAGTAAAATATGTACCAGCGTAGACGGCGGTAACGTAGATGAGCTTTTCCGATGGACCGGACATAGCAGCGAGTGGCGTCGCGTAACCTGGACCGGACTTGCAACATCCTCTTCCTCCTCCGTTGCTCACCGGAGCTATCACTTCAGTTTCCGTCGCCATTTCTCTCTCTGTCTTTGTCTTGATTCAGAAGATATATTTATTGTTTGATTGATAAGTTTAGATCAGAAGGTATGACATGTGACGGAAAACATTTTTTTCAAATATATATATGCCAAATTTGTAAATTGTGTTGACCCAAGAACCTATCTAAATTAAAATCGTGTCCATGCAAAAAAAAAAATTATATGAATGTATGGAGACGTATTTTTAGTTCAAATACATTACTCGCTCAACATAACTTACAGAAAAGGTTTTATTAGGTAGATTATTATTGTATTTATTGGGATTACTGATTTTTTTATTTTAATGTAATTAGAAATCCAAATCAAATATATCATTATTAGTTATATGATTTTAAAATTCATATTCAAATTCGATATTTTAGTTCTTTGATTTTAGGATCTATATTTAAATATTATGATTTTAAATTATAAATTTAATATCACAGTGCATTTTAGTAGATTTGAAAAGGTATCCATGTCAAAGTACAAAGACATAAATTCTTAAAATAAATCTCTGTTCAAAAATTAGTTGAGCGTTGATTAGGCAGTCGGTGTAGACCAAACGAGTTTTTCAAAAATTGGAAATAAATTAAAAAGTATTTCATAATTTCTTTATATATATATACAAAATATATACGTTTAAAATGTATAATAAATATTTTACAGGTCTCAACTACGACCCCCCCTCTCCTTTTAAAACATATGAGTTGTATATTTATTTTTTCATTTATCTAATTGCAAAGTCAAAAACGCACGACAGCTTTTCCTTCTACATTTGGTGGAAATTTTCAGATTTTAAATCGATTAGGTTGGTTTGATCCGGATTTAAAAATCGATTATATTAATTTAAACTTTATACAGGTTTTCATATGGTGTATCAGTTAGGCTTCTTTAAATTGGTATCCAATGGACATTTTAAAAAGCCGGCTGCATCTCAAAATTATATTACAAAACGATAATCCTAGAATTTTAATAGCTATATATACTTGCATATGTCTCATCCATCTAAACAACTGCTTATGTTTATTTATTTATTATTGACGTGTAGGTCAAAGTTTAGGGTTTTGTTTTTGTTTCATGCAGTATGTTCTGATTTTGTCTTCTTGAGTTTTCGTTGTGTCGCAGGTGGCTTGCAAGAGAGGAGAGTTGGTTAGGTTTCATCGTTTCGTTTTGGTTATAGAGCTTCCAGGCTTATGGCTGCTGATGGTCGTGAGTTCGGTTTGCATAAAAAGTATTGCTGCTTAAACTTCTTTCTACTTGAATTCATCGTATGTTGATTACAACTAATGCTTTGTTATAAATTTGATTTTGATTTGTTTAATACGTTGTTTTTTGTGTTGATGCTGTTTATTGCTTTGTCTTTTTTTTCGTTTTGGTTATATATATTTATTTTGACTATATAGTTATATCTCAGTTTATGTTTTAGGTTGGTCTGCGACGTTGGTTTCTTTGTGGATTTAGTCGTTATATGAAATTATCTCTTATTTATAAAATTATCTTGATTTTTTCGTCTTATACAGTAAGGATACTCGGATGACTCTCTGGCCTTTTCATCTACCGAGGAATCAGGAAATCATTTTTCTCGGAAGATCTTTTGCCGCCTGGTCCTCGAGATTGTTTTCAAAGGTCTCAGTTTCAGAGTTGGATGGACTACAACAAACACCATCCAGAGTCGAGGCATCTTCTATATACTGAATTCCCAATTTGGTTTGTTTGGCATAAGAACATCAGGGAATGGCTACCGCGGCGTCGTTGTAGGTCTACGAGAAATGCGGTAGGACTTCCCTATGTGAAACCAGAATGTGGTGAGCTCTATTACCTCAGAACATTTTTAGCTGTTGTCAGAGGACCGACGTGCTTCGAAGATATCAGAACGATTAATGGTGTTTTATACTCATCGTTCGATGAAGCCCTTGGAGTCTATTTTGGTTAGGGATTAGTTGAGCGACCTTTTCATACAAATTAACAAATATTATGATTGTGTTGGATTTTGGGTTACATGTTTTTTTTATTATGTAGCATGTGGCTGGTGTTTTTATTTTGGTATCTAATATATAAGATTTTAATTTACTGTCTTATTATGTATGCATTGTCGATTATCATTTTACCGCGTAATTAATACAGTATGATTATGTGTTATTTTTAACTTATATGATTGTGTTTGGTTGAAAAAGATGAGACCCATCGTATTGATTTGTTAGGATTTTCGTCATAATTTTTATGTGACTGTAAAAGTATTATCGTTGGAGAGTGTAAATGTTAACATGAACTTTGGCGTATGGAATGATATTTACAATATAACTTCAAGAATACTTGTGTCATGTAAGATTTCGAGAATATTCTGTGACATGTGTTATATATATGTTAAGATTTGTTCCAATTTTATCTTTATCAAAATTGTTACTTTTTAAATATTTATCCTTATCAGAATTTCTCTTGAAACGTTATATATTTATTTTAGGGATATATGTATAATCGTGAGAACGTATAAATGTTAACATGAAATATGGCTTATGGAATTTTGGATTCGATAAAGACTTCAATAATATTTTGTGTCATGCAAAATTTCGATAATATTCTGTAGCATGTGTTATATATATATATATATATATATATATTAAGATTTGTTCAGATCTTTATCTTTATCGAAATTGTTACTTTATAAATTTTACTTTTATTGGAATTTCTCTAAAAATGTTATATATTTATATTAAGGATATCAGTCTTATATATGTAATATATAGGGAAATATACCATACGTTATAATGTCGGTTATAATTAATGGTGACTATTTATTTCAAACAGAATGTTAGGATAATAGCATAGCTGTGTAAAGCATTGAAAAATATACTGTATCATGCCTTATATATATTTTAAAGATTTATTCCAATATTCATCCTTACCGATATTGTTGTTACTGTGTGCGTGTTTACCATTAATAACAATTTTTTAACAAAATATTATATATCTATCTTTGAGATATATATATATTATATATTTACAATGTTTTGGAAAATATACTATAAGTCTTAACGTCGGTCACAATTACTTAACTTTTTGATTATTATTTGCTATGAAATAATTTGTGATAATGACATAATTGTTTAGAGTCGTTGGCCTTTGAATATATATATCCTATATATCTTCCAGCTCTGGCTATAAAATACAAAGAAACACGATCAAAAAATTTCACTTTGGTTTAAAGAGCTTACAGAAAGCCCTAAATTATTAGGTTGATATTTACAAAGAGACTTACCATTATTCGGGTTGGATAATGTCTATTTTCAAGAGAAATCCTGGTCTTTGGTCAACATAAAAGATTTGACTCCACAAACTGATCGCTATAAGATAAAGGTTTGTGTACTCAAGCTTTGGGTTAGAGCTGGGAAATTGATGGATGTCGTGTTCGTTGATCCACATGTGAGTTTTTTTATGATTTTTTCTAATCAAATTTTGTCGCTTTACTGTGTTGCATCTTCTTAAATATGTTCAATTAATACTCCTAAAGAATTATCAAGGGTGAGCGCATACATGCTACTCTTGATAAGAACTGTGTCCAGAAATTTCAGGATAAACTGGTTTATGGTAGTGTATACATCGTCGATACATTCAATGTCATCGAGTACAAGAGTGACTATCAGACAAGTCGTCATCCTTATAAAACTTATTTTTATGACACCACCGAGCTGAGTGATTGTCATGATTTTCAGAAAACCATCCCCGAGAAATATTTTAGGACGTTCGGTGAGATTTTGTCTACCGATTTGGATAAGTCATACTTGATTGGTAAGTTTTTGAAAGCAATTATTATGTTGATTACGTATTCTTATGATTACTAAGTACATATTTATATTTGTAGATGTCATAGGTCAAGTCGTTAGTTTGGGGACCGTTGATCAGGTTATGGCCTAGGGAAAAAATCAGCATGAGGCTTAAACTTACTCTTCGTGATACAAGGTATGGTAATTTGATTTGTTTGTATATTTTTTATTTTTCAATTCTTATTTATACGTGGTTGTTTTCATGATGTGGCTGTAGTGATCTTCGTTTGATGTGCACTTTATAGGACGATTACGTTACAACGATGGCTGATTATGTAGCTGCATATGCTGACACCGTTGTTGTATGTGTCATTAGACTTGCATGCATTAGAGAATATAGAGGTTTGTCTAATGTAATATTTTCTGCGTAGCTGAGTAAATAATATCCTATTGGAATGAGTTCATAAAAATCTGTTTTTAAATGTAAGTGAGATTAGTATCTCCAACTCTTATAGCTCGACTGATATTTTTTTTAATCCGAACACAACTCTTGCGAAGAGTTTCATTAATGGATATGTTTATTTTGGCTATTATGTTATTTTAGTATATTCTTTGTATCCTGGTGTTTTGTTAGATTGCGTGTATCAAATAATTTTATGTGTTATTTTAGGCTGTCTGCTGATAAATTTAGCCTGGAGCCTTCTAATGATTTTGAGTCCACGGAGGTCCTTCTGCCTGTGTATGATGATTTCTTCGTTAAGACTGCTTGGAAGTCTTTAAGAGCTATACACGAATTAACTAAGGTAGTGTTCAATATATTATTATTTAGGGTTTTGTTTGTCGCTGGTCGATTAATTTAGCGATATCATTCATATGTTGGTGTAGGTTGGAAAGTGTATTATTATGGTTAGGATCGTCTCTATTGGTAACAATGGCAAGTGGTATTATATTGCTTGTAAGAGGTGCAATAGGAAGGTTTTTCCTTACTCTGATAAGGTGGATAGTCAGGGATTGCCATTATGGAAGTTTAATGAGTGTAATACGGACGTTTCATCGGTTGTTGCAAGGTACTTTAGATGAATATTTTTCTTTTCATTTTGTATCAATTGTAGTTATCTAAATGTTCTAATCGTAGTCATTTTATCTTATATACTTAGTTACTTTTTGGTTCTCGATGTGACCGATTCAGAGAGAACTCCTTCGAAGGTTTCTTTCTTTGATAAGATGACGGTTAGATTTTTTGATAAGGCGACATAGGAGATATATGAGTAGGTCGATGATGTATGTATTTACTTGGAGGTGCTTTGTTTGTGGTTTATATATATTTTTATGTTTTATGGTCTCA